CGCCACGCATAAAGTGTATTATGCATCGACGAAAGGGACGATACGCGCGCGTTAACCTTATTAAAATACAAACGTGTCTCTAAAGTGCCCACTGCGACGCCTTTGACAACGTACCCAATATCGGTCCACGTAATTCCCGTAGCAAGGAAAATGATTGACACTTTTAATTTAATATGCTTCTTCGTTTTTTCTGTCGCGCACAGTTGGAGTAAATAAAGCCGCGTGAAAGCGTTAATGCTTTAAAGTTATTTTCGTTAGGATTGAATTATTAATGTAATTCTATTACGTTGTTACAGTTTAATGCAATTTAGAATACATGGAATATGCCGTATAACGTGAACAATACAGAAAAGAGTATTTATAAAGGGTTGAAGTATTCTTTTAAAAAATTACTCAAGTGGTAGGATGATATATTATACGAATTGGAGATTTCTAATGTTATTAAATTCAACGAGGAAGAAGAAAAAAAAAAATCAAAAAAATGAATTAAATTTGAAAAGATTGATATTGTCGATTAAAATAATTTCAATCGTTAAGATTTTTAATATTTGTTGAATATATGATATTATTCGTTTAATGATATTGATATTATATTATTATTATTATTATTATTATTATTATTATGTAGAAAGGAGTATATATTCTGCGTTGTCACTGACCTCGTTGTGTATCACACTGTACATTCTCTCAAATTCTTGTCCCAGGGAATAACGACTCTGGATCATAATCATTAAATAAGTAAATAATTAACAAATATATAATGATAACCTCTTTTCCAGGGTATAAAAGCAGGTACAAGTCGTTCGGAAGATTTTGCTAAGTATTATCCCTTAATAAGGAGATTTGTTTGCTAGACACTCGTTATAAGTACGATTAGGCGAAATATGTAAGACGATGAAAAAGCAGAGAGATAGGAATTATAAAGTGAAAAAAATCACGCGCGTCAATAAAAAAATATCTTATGCAGGGTGAGACGCGATGCTATGATTAATAAGAGCCAAAGCATGATAGACACGATTCGAGGCGATTGTGTTCTTGTATAGCTGAATAGCAAATATACACACTTAAAAAGAAATATTCTAGTATCATATTATGTTCTTCTTTGCAATTGCCGATTCGAAAGCAATCAAGTTTCGAAAACAATGAGAAAAGGGCATGCCAATAAGGTAATTACGACATTTCGGCACGTCAACGTAGATATATCAAAGCAAAACTATAATGATTGATAAAAGCAAAATAAACAAAAAAAAAAAACAAAAAAACAACTTAAAAAAACGCGCAAACTTAAAGAAACAGATAAGGATTTGATGGCGCATCAATTTTATAAATAAATATTATATATATATATATATATATATACTATTATTATATAGGGTATACGTAAAAGTGTGTCACCACATTGAATTTCTATGCCCACCAAAAGCAAAAAATAAATAAATAAATAAATAAATAAATAATAATGATGATGATGATAAAAAAACAAAAACAAAAAACAAAAAACAAAAAAAAAAAATGAAAAAAAGGCGAGAAAAAAATAAATACGATGAAAAAATTTTACACGCACCCGTAACTACACACACGTACCAATTTACCAGAATTTCGCGCACGAATACTCCTGCAAAAATAATACACATTCGTCGTCAGAAACAGAAATATACAGCAACCACAACTGCACACAAATGCACATGCTCGCGCGTAAACACAGATCAAGACACACGCGCAACAAGCGCAAGCACACAGGCCAGACACCGAGACACGCATACACACACAATGCAAACAGTCGCACAGAAAGTTAACAGTCGTATTAATACGTATGAATATTGAATGTTGGATATATTACATAAGAATAAACATTATATGCTGCGCCGAAAGGGGGATTGTCCCGCACTTATGTTAGATTCGCCCGCTCGCCCGGTCTCTTTGTCATTATTAAATTATAATTATTACCATTATCATAACGATACTATCTCTATTCCTATACTTCTCGGAAGCTAATGGAGGGCTAAAAACGCACCCCTAGGACGTCGACGTGCAACAGTATACCATATAACAATTAGTCTGTCTCTTATCTGCGCGACTCCGTATACATATACGTATTGTAAAAGAGCGTGTGTATTCACGTGCGTGCGTGCGTGCGTCCGTGCGTACGTGCGTGCGTGCGTGTGTGTGAGCAAAAAATATTGCTACTGCGTATATGTGTGTCGTAGCTGGGAGAGCGGCGATTTTCCGACGGATAAGCGAGCGATCCCGCGTTTGAGGTGACTTTGGATCATAGATCTCATAGACGCGGGCGTAGAAAGTATCGAGGTCGTATTATTAATGTCACGATAAATGACTTGACGGAATAAATAAACTTTGCATACAAAAAAATAAGGAAACGCACCCAAGCGTGCGTGTACGTGTATTTTTACCTATGTGTCCCAATCCTCTCACACGCTGCACGCAGAATTGCGTGTATCACGTACAAGCTGAGAAATATATAAATATATTCTCAATTAAATAAGAGATGTCGAATTTGATTATGCACATCTCTATATAATTTTGGAGCGATATGTAACATGAGATAAGCATGAATGCAATTTTCATTTCTTATTACGTACATTTAAGAGCTTGATAAGTAAACGAAAAGTTTCGATTTATTTCTTACGAATCTCGGAGAAATAAATAGTTTTTCTTTTTTTTTCATTTTTTTTTTTTTTGTTTTTTTTTTGTTTTTTTTTTGTTATTTAGTAACAAATAAATAAAGTTCGTAATAATTTGTAATTGTACATAATAAACTACTTTTACTTACTCAAGGGAAATTTTCTCACCAATCAATTAATGCTTCATTAATCTAATTATTAAATATGCTATTTTAATGACGCATGAAATAATAAATCTTTATTTTCAAAAAATTATTTCTCACCGTTACTTTAAATCCCTTATTTTAAATATATATATGTATGTATATTTTTTTTTTTTTTTTTTTTTTAAATTATTTTTTAACGTTCAAATAAATCACCACTATTATGGTAAAGTGCACTAAATAATATTGTGTATTATAAATAAAACGTTGAAAGCAATAATAATAAACAATGTTGGTTATACCACCTAAATTTAAAAGTCAAATAAGCGTCTATTCATATTGTAAATAATAATTTGAATTATTTATAACGAATTCTAAAATTTCATAAATATAAAAATGTAAAAAACTAATTTCTTTTTTATTCTTTAATGTCACATCATCTCATAATATTTTTTATTATTCACTTGAAAAACTACAACATACCGTACAGGTAATTTAGTTTTTGAAATGAAACATAAATCAATTCGTCAAGATAATTATATATATATATATATGTATGTATGTATAAGGAAAGAAATATAACTATTGTATATAATATTTTCTTTTATTAGAAATGTTTTTATAATTCTCCGATTCTTAAGGATGACTGATTATTGGTGGATTATTAATATTATTTTATGCATTTTTTAAATACATTATATTTTATAATTTTATCTATGGTCCCTCGATAACGATGAAACTATAGTAAAAGTGGAAAGATATTGATTGTTGCGAGTGCACTCCTTAAAGGTAAGTATAATAATAATAATAATAATAATTATTATTATTATTATTATCGTTATTGTTATTATTACACAAATAAAGGGTAAATAAATTAAAAACTAACATTTTGTTGTTTTTTTTTCTTTTTTTTTCTTTTTTTTTTTTTTTTTTTTTTTTTTTTTTTTTTTTTGAGATAAAATGCACTTTTTATTTGCGTACATTAGATCCAGTACATCGTTTTTATAAACCTACAACTGCAATTAACAAGCAAGTAGCTTTCTAATACTTGATGAGCATGTTCCACTGAAGTCGATTATAAGATAACTTTTTGTCGTGTTACATATTATATCATATTAAAAGCTCGTGTAAATAAGAATTACAAAGAAATATGTAGGTACTAGAAATGTCGACTTTCTAAGCAATAAATTAACAGAAACTTGGCAAACAAATAATCTTCCGTTTAATATATATTATTCTTATTATTATTATTATTATTATTATTATTATAAATTTCGTCTATTAAATGAATAAATCGATGAAACTTTGGCATAAATAAAGCGACTAGTTATCTTCATCTATACTTATATAAATAAATAATAAGTTTTATTTATATTCGGCTTAAAATTTATCATGATTAAAATCTCTATTTATATTATCAATTATATCCTAGATTTTAAAAAATTTGATTGTAAAAACTAGCTGCGCGTATTTTTTCTTTGTATTTTTCATAATGCGAGTATTTTACTTATATTACTAAGATCAGTCATAGGATATGTAAATAAATTTTAATGAAAAATAGAATGGCACTTCTAGTGGCGAGTACCACGTAACACTTAAATCAGAATGAAAATAATCAGGAAATTACGCAAGCTCCGCAATTTCTCAAGATGTATCTACGAAAAACCACTTGAGATTAGACTGATCCCACGAGAAATGTTCCCTAGTTTTTAAAAATACTTATACAAATATGTACTATTCACATTGAAGTCTATTTCGCATCAACGAAATATAGCAAACATTATCAACTACAACAATATAAAAAACTGTAAAATTGAATACAGTATCGTATACATGTAATACATAAACAATTTCTAAAAAGAGTCGCATTATACAAAAAGCCTCGTTGATTATAATACATTTAAAATTTTTCATTTAATCAACATTATTGCGATGATTGTACGAGACGGCTCAAAAATGCCAGAAAATAATATGTGAAACGCTTACAAGAACTAGTAGGATGGAAAAGTAAAATTGTAAACAAATGCTTAAACAGAGCCCCCCTCCTTTATCTTCCTATCACTTATCATAATTATCTAAGAATTCGAATGTAAGGACCATCGCTGGTCATAACCAAGGATAAAACACAACATACGTAAACGAGGTGGAACTTAAAGGAATAAAGATAATAAAGAGAAAATAAACAGAGAACAAAAAAAAAGAAAAAAACGCTCCTCGATTAATCGTAACATCAGTCTGCGCGATCCGCCGTAATAATATTCCCACTCGGGCATCATAGAAAAATCTCACTTTGTCGAAAATGTACTTTCTTCTTGATTAAGACAGGCGACGTGCATCGATGATGCGCGAAGGGCTCGGTGGCTCATATTTCAGGCGGCTCGCTGAATCGCTCGGCCCTCGGTCCAGCACTGGTCCCCGCCCCTCCGCGGGCTCATGGGAAACGCCAATAAATCGCCGACCATCGCTCCCTCCTCACAAGGGGATCGGAGCGCCGTCGACTCGCAGCAGCTGCGCCTAGATGTTCGGTATGTAGCCGCTCGAAGCCATCCCCCCACCGCCGCCCCGCAGGAGCGTGCAGTCGGGGGTGCGGGACTTGTGACGCAGGGGCTGCTTCCGCGTCGGCTGGAGGTTCAGTGGCGGGAGGTTCGGGTGCTCGATCCGGGTCGGTGAGCTGACGCGCGGCCGCAGGCTCCCCACACCCCCGGGGCCGCGCATCCCATACAGCCCTTCAACAGAGAAAACTGAAAAAGAGCGGTCAGTCGGCTGGATCGCGTCACGTGGCCACGAGTCGACGAGAGCTGAAGAGGGTGGTGACGGGGAGAATGGAAAGAATCGAAGGGGGATACGGGTAAGGGGGACGATAGGACGGGTTTGGGCGGGGGATGGAGGGGGATGGGGTAGGGGAGAGGCCACCGCCACCGC